CTTGGCTATGTCGGGGGCCTGGCCTGTTTCGTCTTCATTATCTGCCTGGGCCGCTGGGACTTCATAAACGCCTGTAGGGAAGTTGTCTGAGATCCCTTCTTTGATAGTTCTGGCCAGGGATAGTGAAGGATACATCGGTGGCTACCTGCCACTCGCCGGGTTTCCTCCTGTACCTGACGGGGGGACCAAAGGTCTGACGACTTTGATTGTTTTGCGGTCCGATGTTGCTTTCTCAGTGACATGGGGAGTCCTGTTCTCCACGACATTTCGGATTGTGCAGTACTTTTTGTTGTGTTTCTGGCGGCACTCCTCATTCTGATCGAACAGACATTTCGTCTGAGCAACGACAATGGCTATCTCCCGTTTGATGGATCGCTGCTCGCTACCTTTTTCCGATGTATCAGCTTGAGATTTCCTAGGCCTCTTGTCTTTGTCCTTCGAAGGCTTTCATTTTTTTGGTACCATGTCTCTGATTCGGTCCTTGTGGGATTGTGTGTCCGCGCTGGATTCCGTTTCTGAACCCGGGGCTTCTCTTTCCCTCTTCTTCTCGTGGTAACGAAAAGCACTGAACTCCGATAGCTCGCTTTGTTGTCTCAGGATGTCGTATGAATTCTTTGAAGTGTGGATCCCTGCTATTGTGGTCTTGTTGTTTCTGCCTGTCTTCTCTTGGTGTTTCATGCATGCACACGGATGTCGAATTCTTTTTCTCTCTCGTTTTTGGCTCTTTCGAGATATTCTTGCAGCCACGAAATAGGAGAGTCTCCCTTTCCTATTGAGTTCTCTGCCTTCTCTTTTTTGGTGGGAGATATATCCATTCCTTGTTGGGTTAGGTCCTGGTCTAAATGATCCGGGCCTGTTAAAGAGGCCCTGGATCCCACAATCTTTAGTACAGGTACTTTCGTGAAAAAAAAAAAAGAGAGAGTCGTGGCTGGTTTCGTGAACAAATTTCCAAAAGCTCCCGACCCCTACCCCCTCCCCCCGAAAGTAGGTGCCTCTGCAAAATTGGGTTTTCCCTTTTTTCTGTTGTTGGTTCGTGGTCGTTGGCCGTTGGATGTCCGTAGATGGCATTGGGATGGAGTGCATGTTGGCAAAATTTGTGGAGAAGTGTCTTCCCCATTGGGCCTATGGGATCCAAATTCGTTCTTACGAACCGGTTGGCGCGGAGACGACTTTCAGGGTACTTTTCAGACTTTTTCTTCAAAACGCACTGTGGGATCCAAGCCTTTTTTTTTCTTTTTTTTTTTTAAAAACAAAACAGAACCTTATGGTCCCGGCTCCTTTTCCATTCTGGGGAGCATCAGTCCGGTTCCTATTCCCCCAGCAAGTCCAAGATAGTACAAAGGTTACTCACTCACGCTCCTCCCCCTTATGGTGTGGAGGCCCAGAAGACGGCATTTATTACTTCCTTGAAGAAGGATGAACCGATCTTCACCCCTGCCTAAGTTAGCCTGTTCTAGTAGCTGCTGGTTGACTTTACTGGAAATATCAGGTCTCTTTTCTGACTATTCCTCTCTATCAACTAGACCTGTGATATGTCTGTGTTTTTCTGTGACAATGGGTGTGTCGGACTCCTTTACTCTACTTCTGGACTCCTTGGGAGCAGTTTATCTTGAGGCTGTCGCTTGAAGCTATAACCCTAAATCCTAGCTTGGTTGCACTCTGCTGATAGAACTTTTCCTGATGGCTGTTTCTGGACTGTGCCTACTGTTGATGTGGGGTCTGCTTGAGTTCTGCGGCCTATTCTCTGTTTGAGGTTGGAGTAGTAGGAGGTGGGTTGGTAGGGTTGGGAGTTTTGGATCAGTGGTGGTTGCGGGGTAGCTGCGGTGCGTGGGAGTGGGAAGGGGACGGGGGATGTGTGAGTTAGTATGTGTTTGCTCGGATGTTTGGGGGATGGGGGGGGGGAGTGGAAGGAAATGTGTAGAGGAGGTGGCGATGAGGTTGCTGCTGTGGAGGTGGTTGGGTGTTATGAGGTCGGTTTGATAACGGTGATGGCTGAGATAAAGTGGATGATGGGTGTATTGGTATTATTGTTGTGTATCTGTATTGGTATTATTGTTGTGTATCTCTAATTTTTGGGAGTGGGTCTGTCCTTTTTTATTGGGCCAAGCTGTCCTTTTCCCCTTTTATTCCTATTATTATTAGACTCTATTCTTATCTTCAGGGTCTGACTTGGTGTCTGTTCGGCTAGAAACCTTGTGCGAGAGAGTGGGGTCTACCAGTATGGGTCTGGTTTTAGCGTAGGTTAAGCTCTAATTTCTGTTAGCTCCTAATTAAGAGGTCTACTTTCTTGTATTACCTGTTTTCTTTTTGCGTTTTCTGTTTCTGAAGGTTGGTTTCTTTTCCTGGCTCGGACGTTTGTTTTTTAGATAGTTTTTCTTAAGTTCCTGTATTCGAGCGCCCTTCTTGGGTTCTTACTACTCCTTAGTGTTCTTCAGTTTCGTGTGGGGTTTCTACCTGTCGTTCCTCTGTGTCCTGCTGCTCTGTGTCCCACTTATGGAACTTCAGGTGTCTGTCCTTTATTTCTGCTATTTTCTTACTTAATAGCCATTTTTCTTCGAACGCTTTCAGACTCTGCTCTCTCTTTTGCGGATCTGTTATCCTTTCTTGTTTCCTGAGTTCTATTTTCCATTGTGCTCTGATTTCTTTTTCTACTATTTCTTTTGTCTCTTTCCATCCCTCATCGCTTGTTATTCTTTGCTCCCCTGGAGTTCCATTGCATCTGGTTTTCCATATGACCCATAGTGCCGCTCTTCTCAATAGGTCCGCTATAGTTTTCTCCTCTTCTGACAGATTTCCTTCCTTGTCTCTTGCGGATAGTAGGTAGTTGGTTTGTTCTGGGTACGGCTTGGAGGAAATGTTGGACCAGGTCTCTTTGACTGATCCCCATAGAGTAGTTGCATGTGCACACTCTACCAAGCAACGGATGAGCGACTCTACTTTGTTGTCCCTGCACATTTCGCAGTGAGAGGAATGTTCCGTCCTCTAATCTTCTCTTCTGCGTGAGTCCAGCCATTCATTGACTGGGACCGCCCAATAGAGAATCATCCATTGTAGGCTTCTGAATCTAGGGGGCTTTAGGCTGCTGTAATAATCCCATGGAATTTCGGATGGCCATCCATTTTTTCTCCTAGATGTTTGGTCCATCTTCTTGCTATGACAGGGCGTGGGTCCTCTGTCTTGTTCCTTAATTTGTAGCCTAGCGTTACTTCATAGTCTTGTAGATTGATTAGTTTTCTTGCTCTTCCTCTGCCAAGTTTAATGAACCATCCCCACTCCCATGGGTCCACTTCCAACTCACTGATGTCCTTGCTTGGTCTGAATATTATTGTGTCCGCTACTTTGTGCTCGTTTGTTCTTTTTTTGGTTCCATGTTCTGACTTTCCTCATATTTTTTAAGTTAAATTCTAACGTTGTTATGCTCTCCTCTTTGATGTCTGCTATTGTCTTGTGATTGTTTATTAGCTCGTGTAGGGGTGTCTACTTTCTTGAGGAATTTGAGAGCTACTGACGGATCCAAGCCTTAGTCTGGCGCTTTTGTCTAAAAAACGAACTCCACAGGAATCATGCCGCAGTGGTCGCTACACCAAAATGTATCTACAGCAAGACCTAGACAGATAGAAGTTATTAAGGGCCAGATCCCATTGCGAAGAGGATTGGAAAAGTGGCTGAATCTGGACGTGTTCCACACAGAGATGCAGAAAAGCAGGTCACTCACAATGTTTTGCACATCTCCACAAACACGTCCAGATTCGGACGCTTTTTCGCATCCCCTTTGCCAGTGGGATCTGGTCCTAAGTCAACAACTTGACATCTCTCAGCGTGCATGTAACCCATGCCAGTTTGGGTGGTATGTGAAGAGCTTTTTTTTTTTTCTGAAATGAGGGACTTTCATGGCTATGCTGTCAGACAATTATGACAACAAAACTGCACTCCTCTCTTTTTCCTGTTTTTTTTTTTTTTTTTTTTTTTTTTTTTTTTTTTTTTTTTTTTTTTTTTTTTT